GGCCGATCGTTTATAGCCTTTTCTCACAGCAGCCAGAATAATTAAATGTATCATTTTGAATGCGGATTGTAATCCAGAAAGGATTATGTGTTTATGAAACACATGTGAATGAAATTAAATGATATTCCAGTTTTAAATGTGCTTCTGATTACAGATAGCCTGGGATTACATAAGATTTGTATTTTAAAGACAACCAGTTCGAAGGGAGCATAATTAGCTTTTTGGGTTAAAAGAATGTCTTAATATGAAATTCGAGTGGTATGACAATTAGAGATTAGACTGTGCAGAAATTGAAATCTACTCGCTTATACACACTATACTCATAGTCATGCAATGCTGATGTTGTTAACATTAACAATTTGAGAATAAATTTAGATTCAATCACCATTGGTAGCGCGATTTATTGTAATGCTTTTTTCCTCAGTTGGTCAGAACAAACGTGGCAGACTTGTTACTTACTTGTTCAGATGACAATATACGGTGAAAATGCTTATTTGAGTCATATATTCCAAGACGTAGGCTAGAATCTGTGATTGCGAAGTACAGTAAATATCCACACCACTGCGGTGACTGACCACACATACTCCTCAAAACATTAGATTCATCCGCGCTGGAGCCGTGCCGGAGCACAACCCACGCAAGCTAGATAATTCTGCACACAGCTGCAAACTTTGTAATAAAACAATTTCACTGTAAAATAAAAGATTAATAATGATACTAATAAAATATTATTTCGATATATTATAATAAGTAATATTAAAATATAATATAATTAATATTGGTTTTATTATTAGTATTACTATTAACAACAACAACAATAATAATACATTATAATTATTATATCTTAAGTTCTTAATTTTCAGCCATTAAACCGTCAATCTTTTATTTTACTGGAAAACCTCAGGAAACCCTTAAAGTTTCTCCTTTGTTGGCAACAGGTTCATAAACACTTCTTACAAATCAGGTGAAATGAATGATGCACGTTGCATTCCCAAATGCATATGTGCCTAAATGTGATTATATTATATTTATTTAAATAAATCCCAACCAATGCGTTTTTGATTTTGTTTTAATTAATCATTCAATGCCAGTCTGTTGAAGTCCACATAAAATAAAAATGCTCCTCAAGCTCTTGTTTTTTTTTCTTCTTTTTTTTTTTTTTAATATCTTGAATTTCATGTTGACTTTTAACCAGAAAAACCAGCTTCCCCATGTTTGTTGCATTTCAGGAGAAAACTAACCCTTAATCTAAGCTTTTAAATGGTTAGTTAGAACATTAGACCATTTCAGCAGTCATTGTACCTCAATGACACACTAAACAGGTTAATCAAGAACAGCAAAACATGTCTGGATTAATTAGAGGTGACAAAAACACACTGCCCTGCGGTCCTTCTGTAACTGGACCCTGTTTAATACATGTGTGAACATAGAGAATCATGGGAATCTCTTTGTCTGTCTGTATAACAGGAGCTGTGTGAAGACCCGCACTTGTTTGTGAATGGGATCAGTGCTCATGACCTGCACCAGGGGCAGCTGGGAAACTGCTGGTTTGTGGCGGCCTGTTCCAGTCTGGCCTCCAGAGAAGCTCTGTGGCAGAAGGTGAGTTCATGCTAGTTAGCGGTTACCATGGTAACCACAACTTCTACCTAGTTACCACTGTGTATAGCTATTTCAACTTGACATGGCATCTTAATTAAAATATGGAATAAGACACTGAAAAACCAGTAGGGAAAAAAAAATCTGAGCACGACGCCAGTGAGGTCATTGGTTCAGTGCATGAACTGATAAATAGGATATCTTGAATGCAATGCGAGATGCATTATATGCATATGCACTACTGGTCAAAAGTTTGTTTTTTCCACAAAAATATTAAGAAAGAAATGTTTCTCAAGCAGCAAATCAGCATATTAGAATGATTTCTGAAGATCAGGTGACACTGAAGACTGGAGGAATGATGCTGAAAAATCAGTTTTGATCACAGCAATAAATTACATTTTAACAGATATTCAAATAGAAAAGAGTTATTATGAATAGTAATAATATTTAATATTTTTTATATATTTATTTTTAATTAAATAAATGCAGCCTTGGTGAGCAGAAGAGACTTCTTTCAAACACACAAAAATCTTAATTATTCTAAACTTTTGACCAGTAGTGTACATTTTAAATTTAAAACAAATACATTTAAATTAAAAAAAAAGTTTAAACAGAACGCAAGAACACTTGCTGGATCTTTCATTTCAATTTTTTTATTTTTCAATTTCTTGTTTTGATGACAGTGGGGGGGGAATACCAATTAACCACCTTCATTTGAACTAAAATAACTAGTAATTTTGATATTTGTGTCCTCATCTGAACAACCTTGCTCCGTGATATCAGCAGCCCACCCCCTTATCATTAGTTTGGTTAATGAATAGGTTAAATGTCGATGAAAGTTAATATTCCCTCTAGTGAGAAGGATTGCTCCCATAACCCGGATATACCAGTCAGAAGATGTGCGAGTTATATAGAGTTTATGCTGTGGGAAATCATTCTCCTTCAGTCTAGATTGACACGTTCACACCATATTCCACCTCGTATTCGCTGATAGTGAATGTCGTCATTACTCGGCCTCCCAGGGTTAATTATTGCCTGGAAGATATTACATCCCGTCAGAGAGGAGGACCGATCTCACATCAACACCTCATGGCTATGAAGTATTGAAAGAAGGAAGCAGAGGTTGACTTCAGAGTCAATGGAAACTGATTGCAGGTATAATGTCCCTGAAGAAACATGGTTACCAGTCTTGAACTTTAACCACCTACCTTTATTTCTGAGGGCAGTGAGAACAGTTGTATTTGACCTGTCCATGGTGTGGCATCACCAACCTCACTGTGTGTGAGTTAAAGCGTCGGAAACACTGAAGCATGTTAAAGCATTGGCCTGCCTTGTTCAGTCTGAATGCATTCACACCATTTGTCATAATTTCAAGTTTTCATAATTTACGACTCTGTGATTGTGCTTTGAGTTATTTATATCTTTGGACTGCATAGAATCCCTCAAAACTCCCAAACTGATCCATGTTCTTGATGTCTATAAAAATCAGGGCTCAACAACGATGAGTTTTACTTGCCCTGCCAACATTTTCACCAGCTCCACGCCAAAACGTTTTTGAGCAATGTGTTTTTATATATATTTTTAGAAATATTTTTATTTTTATTAAATTGCAAAGTGTCTTTAAATGTTTTTGTATATATTTTTGTTTTTAAAAAATTACAATTTTCTTTACAAAAACTACAGCTGTAACTCAAATTCAAAAATAATGCAAAACATTACTGATTGGTTTGTAGTTCCATTTGATTTTTAATTGAATTTTGTTTAATTTAGTTTTAGTATTTTTATTAGTTTTGTTTTTTAATATTTCTAATGAACTTTAGTTTGTTCTTTAGTTTTAGTCTTTTTCTTAGTACTTCATTTTGGTACTTAAATGAAAATTATTAAAATATTGCCTTGGCAACTACCTGAAATGAAATAAGTTTTATAAATTATTTATTTTATTTTTTATTAAATCTTTTATTTCAGCTTTATTTTAATTAGCCGAAACAATTTTATTAGTTTTAATGTTTTAGAGAGCAGTTACAACATCATTGTAGTGCTAATGTTTCCAAGACAATCACAAACCAAAATTTCTTTTGCAATATTGACAAAACACCGGACACAGAACGCAGTATGAGTGTGGCACAAATTGTTCTAGCCTGTTGCTTTGTGAGAAATAATAAGTCATGTTGATTTGGATTTCATGAGTTTTATTTTTCTTGAAATAAACCTCAAACTGTCTGATTGTTATTGTTTTATACAGTGGTACGTCGATTCCTCGAGTGTGAGGTTTCCTCATTACACTGTGTTTGCAGGTACACTGTAATCCTTACAAACAGAGTCATGGGATGTGCTTCCCGAGCAAATGATGCATTATTAGGACGAGTTTGGTTTCGAGAGAATGAGATTGCCTTGATGGCTTCTGACTAATTGGAGACTTGGGGTTATCATCTTTCTCTGTTAATTCGTGTCCACAAACGATGCACACTCGTGGACAAACACTGAGTCCCACGAGACGACTTCTGTTTGTTTCTATGCGTTACACATTTCCAGATGCGAATGCATGGAGAAAGTTTTTTTTTAAAACACTTCCGTTCACTCATGAGCTTACATTCGTACGTCATCCGTCCGTGTCGCTCCACGTAATTCTCATTAAAGAGCCTCGCGGGACGTCCTGCCGTAACGCACCTCACATGGATATACACCGGTGCGCAGGACGCCAAGCTCTCCATCTCCCTCCGAGCTGTGTGTTCTGTCTCTACTAGACGTGGCGTTTCCTCCTGAGGTCTAATTACGGTCTTGTAACACATCCCTGTCTTCCTGCCGTCCCCCTGAAGACCTCCGTCAGACACACACTCACAGCTCTCGTCTGGACACACACTCTTGCATGGTGAGCTGCCTACCTAGCCAGTATTTAAAGATGCTAAAGCTGCTCTTAAAGGTAGGCAGGGATCATAAGTTGCCATTTAAACCTCATTCTGGCCATTTTATTAAGGCAGCATCACATCTGTGCTTCACAGAGAAGACAATCCCAGAATGCATTGCGACTAGCTCTGTGGGGGGGAAAAAATGTTCATTTTAATTGTGGGATAGCACTTATTCACAGTGACCTTGTTATACATGTTACATGTACTTAATAACAATACACTATGCAGAATTAGGTTACACTTTATTTTAAGGTGTTTGTTACAGTGTAATTATACATTTAAGTACTGAGCAATATTAATTAACTACATGTACTTACTATATGGTTAGGGTTTGGCTTAGGGTTACTTGCATGTAATTGTGCATAATTAATTGTTATAATATTAAGTACATGTAACGTGTTACAAGGACACCTTAAAATAAGGTGTTACCCAGAATTACATGCAACTAGTTACTTTAATTCATTAATAATACTTAGTACTTATTTGTACAATTATACCTTAAATTACCCAAATTAGCCCCTAGAATTATACCTTAAATGACACCTTAAAATAAAGTGTAATTAATTGTAGTTTAAGCTTTAGTAATTTTATGTGCTTTTGTCTTCCTTTTTTTTAATCTCACTGATTAGGTTTAATTTATTTTTGTTCTAGTTCTGTTTTTTTTTTATTTTATTTTTTTTACTTTTTAGTATTTATTATTTCCTATTTTATTTTATTTAACAAAAATATTTTAGCCAACAATAAAAAAACCTTTTCGGCACTACATGAAATATCAAATAATAGTCTGATATGTTGTAATCGATGCCCACTGCTTTTTAAACTTTATTTGCTTTTTTTTTTTTGATTATTTAAATATGCATCTAATTTGATAATACTGCTAAACTGATTTATTTACATTTATTTCCAATTTACAACTTTTTTGATTATTTTCAATAGATTGTTATACAGTATATACAAAAATATAGTATAAACATAATTTTTCAATGTAACGTTTTATTTCAGCTTTCATTTACAATAAAATGTTTTAATAGTTTTTAGTTGATGATTAAAAAAACTTTACAGTTCTGCGTGAAATATCCATAAAATTGTGTAATTAAATGGTTTGTGTTTTCTGTGTTGACAAGCTGAAATGTTGGCTATAAAAGTACTTTATTTTATTATATAATGCAAAAATAATTATTTTATATAATATATTATAAATAAATAAAATAAGTAATTAAAATGAGTAAAAATTATCTAGAGTTGTAGATGTTCATGCCTGGAGAGAAAACTTTTTCATAGATGATTTGAGCAATGTAATGGAAACACTTGACATAAACATGACATAAACAAACGGATTAATTGGCTTTTTGAACCAATTTATTGAATCAAAGCGTTCAAAGAATCAGTGAGTCGGCCTTCCCAGAACTAATGCGTGGCATTTGCCTGAAGGCAGGACGCTTTGATTGATTCCCGATGTCTGATTTATAATACTGCTTTTATTTTTTTTATTTTTTTTGTTTGTTTTTTTTTTTTAACCCCACATTCCCTTTACCTAATGCCAATGGACATTTGACTTTATTTTATTTTAAATTAAGTAATTCAGAAATAAATTATTTATTTATTTTGGACTGATTATTTTCATTAGATCGGCATGCAGTAAAAATCCAAATATAGGGGTGAAAAAAAGTATTGCAATTTAATTTTTTTAACTTGGTGTAAACACAGTACAACAAATACTTCTATGATTTATATATTCTTTACTTAGTTTATTGTTGTTATTATTATAGACTGAGTTTTTAGCATTGCGGTGTTCTGAATTGAGAGTATAAATGTGCTTAACTGACATGAAAATGTACAACTAATGCAATTAAAATTTAGAAAAATGAGAAATGTTGCCTTGGCAACTGTCTAAAATGTTGAAGTACTAAAATTGAAAATTTAAAGTATTAAAATTACTAAAATAAAATATAAAAAATATTAAGATTATAATTATATTTAATAGTAAAACAACATTGCTTTAAATACGGTTAATTAAAGTAAAACAATTATCCAAAGAATTTTTTTTTTTTTTTTGATGTTTGGAGTGAGCATGTTCTTGATGGTTTTCATATGATTCACCCATAAGCTCCTGTAATTCCATAACTTTTTTGTTTCCCCACATTTTCCTTGTCTGCATCAGAGTTCTGGCAATGTGTTTTAATTGATTATAGTTATAAAAAAGCAGTGTTTTGTCTGTTTATAGGTTATCCCAGATTGGAAGGACCAGGAGTGGGACAAGCAGAAACCGGAGAGCTATGCTGGGATATTTCACTTTCGCTTCTGGCGTTTTGGAGAATGGGTGGACGTCGTTATTGATGACCGACTGCCAACCGCAAACGGGCAGCTCATCTACTGCCACTCCAACGACAGTAATGAGTTCTGGAGTGCGCTGGTGGAGAAAGCCTATGCCAAGTAAATACCACAGCCAATATCACACAGAAAAAAAAACATCAAATTGAATGGAGCTATCATATATTTAATATAATATGATTAAAAGTTATATTCTTTATATACACACTGCCATTCAAAAGTTTGGGATCAGTATGATTTTTAATTAAAGAAGTCTCTTATGCTCATTAAGGCTGCATTTATTTGATCAAAAATACAGAATAAAACCGTAATATTCTGAAATATTACAATTTAAAAAACTGTTTTCTATTTTGATATACTTAAAAATTAAATTAATTTTTGTGATCAAAGTTTAATTTTCAGCATCATAACTCCAGTCTTCAGTGTCACATGATCCTTCATTAATGTTGGAAATAGTTGTGCTGCTTCATATTTTTTTGCAACCTGTGATAATTTTATCATGTGTTAAATTGATAAAAAGTGATAGTGAAGACTTATATTGTTAGAAAATATTTCTATTTTGAATTAATGCTGTTCTTTTAAAATTTGTATCCATCAAAGAATCTTTAAAAAATGATCAGTTTCCAATTTTTTTTAATTTTTTTATTAAATGAAGCGGCACAACTATTTCCAGCATTGATAATAATCAGACATTTTCTTGAGCAGCAAATCAGCATATTAGAATGATTTCTGAAGATCATGTGACACTGAAGACTGGAGTAATGATGCTGAAAATACAGCTTTGATCACAGAAAAAAAATTCATTTTAAACTATATTAAAATAGAAAACGTTTTTTTAAAATTGTAATAATATTTCGGAATATTACTTTTTTTTTTTTCTGTATTTTTGATCAAATAAATGCAGACTTAATGAGCATAAGAAACTTCTTTTAAAAAACATAAAAAATATTACTGATCCTAAACTATTGAACAGCAGTTTATGTGTGTATATCTAACCCTAATATACTTATTTTTACGGTTTCATTTATCTGGTCCCTCTTTTATCAGGTTATGTGTATGTTATGATGCTTTGGATGGCGGAAACACGGCCGATGCTCTTGTGGATTTCACTGGTGGAATATCTGAGCCCATGGATCTGCTGGAAGGGAAGTTCAGCCAGGAGGAAGAGGCCCGAAATCAGCTGTTCGAGCGCGTTCTGAAGGTCCACAACAGAGGAGGCCTGATCAGCTGCTCCATTAGAGTGAGATTCTCATGCATTAGTGTTTAATGCATTATTGTGTCTTATCCCAGTCTCGTGTTCATATTTGGATTCTCGTTTTCGTAGGCGACGAGTCAGGCGGACATGGAAGCCCGTTTAGACTGCGGCCTGGTCAAAGGTCACGCGTATGCGGTGACTGACGTGCGTAAGGTGCGTCTGGGCACCGGCCTGCGGGCGTTCTTTAAATCGGAGAAGCTCTCCATGATCCGTATGAGGAACCCGTGGGGTCAGAGAGAGTGGATCGGAGCTTGGAGTGACAGGTTTGTGAACATCTGGAAGCTGTTTAGTGTTACTGTCCAGTGTGTGGTTTATAAAGGGGCCTGTACACATTTAAACACTTCTACATGATGCTCCAACGGAAATTTGCAGACTAAATTCTCTATTTTGTGTTTTACTGTTTGTGCAATGCAAGGAAACATGGCCTTATTTGACGCTGGAGTTTTTCCCAGCCTTCCCCGATGTAAATAGTTTGATTTAGGGCACAGAAGCACTTCAAGTGATCATGTAAACAAATTCCCCAATTGCTAGACAACATGCGCCTAATGCTAACATTTCCAGTGAATGTGCTAAACGATTAGAAAGAGAATGATTTGGAGCGAAACATGATTTGTGAATAAGAAGGATTACAGTATTAAAGTTATTGCGCATAATGCATGACTCACCCATGTAAAAAATAAAGGATGCTATGGAAAAAACAGGAAATGTTATGGCTGTGCTGACTGAGATGCTTTGTCTCAAACCACAGATTGTGACTCTCAAATGCTCAAATGTATTTTTGTGCTCATACTGCCACCTACTGGAGGATAAACTCAACATCAAGTGTCATATTTCAGCATCATAAAATGCATTAAATACTTTTTTGTTCATGCTTTGCCAGTTATCTTGAGTTCATACTGACTGTGTTCACATTGCAGGGTTTTAGGAGAGAAAACAGCATTTAAATACTCCAAATCAGCAATCTTCAACCAAAGACCACTTGTTTTTTAGAGAGACCTTAAAACATGTGAATAATATATTATTAATGCATTTACTTACTTTTATAATGCTTATATTGCAAATTCTTTCAAATAATCAGTATTGATGTACAGGATATTAAAGCATTTAATTTTATAAAATTTTAATTTGTACATTTTAATACATTTTAAAATCATACATGTTGATGAATTTTATTTTTGGTTGAAGGTAATACAATTTTTACATTTTAATATTGTATTTTTCTTTTAATGCATTTTTAAAATTAAATCTAATCAAAGGTTCAAAAATGTAAAAACAAACTTATAAAATATGGCATTAAAATGGATATTGGTTGAATTTTTTTTTTTTTTAAATATATCAAGGCAAGTCACTTTTTTTTATATAGTGCTTTATGTAATACAGATTGTTTCAAAGCCGCTTTACAGTAATGAACAGAAAAATAATGCATATGTACGTGTGTGTGTTTGTGTGTGTGTGTGTGTGTGTGTGTTTGTTTGTGTGTTTTACAGGGAATTGAATTGAAGCACTATAATGTTTTTTTCTTAATCAATTTTGGTCTGTCTCTGTCCATCTGTAGCTCAGAGGAGTG